AAACTTGTATAAGATGCTTTTCACAGATTGAAAATGATAAATCCATGTCTCTATAAAGTGTCAAAAAGATATGCTTTGTATTTTGGTATCTGTAATAACGGCAAACACTTTTAATTCAAATCACCAGTTTAAAAGGTAACTGATCATTTTTCTGTACCCTAAGACCCCCAGGTCCCCCCTGGACCTTCGGGAAAAGCTTTGCCGTCTCCACTGCCACTGGAGCCGTGCGCACAGTGTGTGTACTACAGGAGCTGTGTTCAGTTGGAGGATTTTAGATGACTTCATTTAATCCTGAAAACTAGAGTGTAGGTGGGATCTGTGATCCTGCTCTGACAGGGAGGCTAAGCTGCCTGCCCGAGGCCACATGACCTTTTCAAACTTCTTTTTAAACTCTAACCTTCATGATATAAAATATCTAACTCTAAACACCGGGCTAAACTCCTCCGAAGTCAAGTGCTCTCTGTGCTTGTTACACACACACACACACACACACACACACACCCTAACTCTAAACACCAGGCTAAACTCCTCCGAAGTCAAGTGTTCTCTGTGCTTGTTACACACACACACACACACACGCACACTTACGCTATAGGTGTTGCTGGCTTGAACCGGCAGCCTCACAGATCAACTGAAATAGTCTGTGTCCTGAGATACTTTGTAACTTCACTTGGGTATGATATTAAGATATTAATATGAAAAAAGAATAATAAATTTGAGACTGCAGCCACTCCAAGCTAAGTCACGACCCTGACCGAAGAGATCACTCGAAGGCCAGCTTTGTATAAGGTTAACAGCAAACATGACACTATTAAGCTAAAATAACAAACAAACATACACCCCCTCACCCCCAAGCTGTAGAGGAGACTATGTGTTGTGTATACGGGTTGAGTTCTCAACAAGTAACCACAGGCCCCAGCTCACCCGCACCGGCTTGGCTTGCCTCTAGCTTGCCTCAAGTCATCCCTGTAGAGACGAAGCCTTCTCAAAAACTTCCGGAACTGTTCCTCGCTATATCTGGGGTTCCAGAGGGCCACAGCAACAAGATGCAACACACTCCAGGTGTGGTGACAAAATAAATATACTGAAGAGGGCAGTTATCTTCAAACTAACATACAGAGACCATGTCACTCTTCAAAGTCCTTGGTGGGGGGGCCCTGTGCACACGTCAGCGATGTTGCCATTTTTGGGGGGGACTTTCTTTCATTGATACTTAAATAAAAGAGAACCAGCTACAAGAGTTCCTTGCCATCCTATTTTTTTTTCTTTTAACTAAGCAATCTGAACTACTTGCTCACTGTCATAATTATGAAATGGAGAACTTAGTGACTCTGCCCATGTCTCAAATCACAGCACAGAGCATGAAGGCGGACGCCGGGGGCCGGACTGGGGGCGCTTGCTGGGAGCTCCAGCCCCGAGGCCTCAGGTCCGCTGCCGACCCTCACCGATTCCTTTCATTCGTAAACTGCTAATGAGGAGACCGCCTACGTCCCGAGGACTGTGTGCGTTAGGATGGGATTGTGTGTGAAGGTTCGTTGAACGATGCATGGTGACCGAAAGTCCTCGGAAACGCTGGTCTTTAATGTCCAAACTGGTAAAGCTAACTGGGGAGGGCGACACTTGCTGTCAACGAGCACAGCGCTGGTCCTAAAGGTGACCCGACCAGCTCAGTGACGGCAAGCCCCCTCGACATCACAGATCGCGGCCGGGGCGGCGTGTACTGGCAGGTGTCCTCTGGGACAGGCGGCTCAGGTGATGTGTCTGCATGCCACGCTTTGGCGCACACCCGCAGTGGATCTGTGGCCCAGACGCACGGGCACCTGCCGAGGCCGCAGCCGCGCCGGCCATGCTGCGGAATGGCCTGCAGGAGGGTCCGCCCCGGGGCACCGCTGCGCCACCAAGGCCGCCACACGCCCAGCGGGCATCTCGGACGCAGACTCACTGAAAGACACTCCCTAGGGTGCTCAAGCGACAAGTGTTCCGACGGCGCCAGGGGGAAGGATCGCAGCCCCACCCATGGCGGAAGGCGCAAACTGCGTGCGTCCCCCACGGACGACGCTGCACGGCGGCGACAGCGGCCCACGGCCACGGGGTCACGGCCAGTCTTGCACTGCATGCTGAGAAAGCACAGCTGAGCGACGTGGGGGCGGGGGCGGGGGTCTCAGCCAGGCGGGGCGCCGTGGTCCGTGCTTCCCCTGGGTGGGGGGCAGCGGGCCTTCGGGGTGCCTCCGTGCAGCTCTCCTGTTCTGGATGCTGGTGACATGTGTGTGCCCACGCTGTGAAAACTCAATGAGCTGTTCACCTCCTGGTATGTTTACGTGTTCGCATCTTTGTACGTCAATAAAAAGTTTTAAAAAGTATACAACTGAAACTGGCATATTACTGTCTGAAAAAAAACTCACTGAATTGTACAGTGTAAATACAAGCAACTAATTGTCTATTACATTTCAATAAAGCTGGAAAGAAGTTTAAAAAATATAAAAGTTATGGTATGAAAATTTTAATTGATAATTTTTTCATTGCCTTCCTTTGTCTAAAAAGGATTAAGAAGCTGCACGTTAACGTAAAACGTTTCCCTAAACTGATATAAAACTGATACATTTTTTTTATAATGACTCGAGTCAAGCGGAGCACCGCTGGGAACAGCACACTGGAACGTAAGCGCTGAAAAGGCAAATACTAAAGCTGTGCGTTGGTTTCCTTGGCAGAGTATCTATCAAAGAATTAACTGAATTAAACAGCCGTGAGATGACTTCTTCATTCAAAAGATATTTAGTGTGCTCTTATAACCTGTCAGTCATCCGGGACAAACATGGCAGGGTGCACAGATTAAGAGAAATTCCCCCGATGAGGGGTGTTGTACCCTTGCTGGTCGGCCACCTCCAGGTTACTCTCATTCTGTTGCTCAGTGAATTCGCGTCTGTGAATGAGAGACAGGTGTAAGGAGGACAGGCTGTCACTGAGACCGACCTGGGAAAGTAGGACTCAAGTACTTTATGACTTTGTCTAACAAGAGTCATCCTGAGAGCCGCTTTTCTCCCATTTATAACAGAGTAAAAAGCATGGCCAAAGATGAGTGGAATCCCACAGCGATTTGAGTCTATGTGAAAAATTTTCTTTTAAGGTAGACAAGGAAAGTGGGATTTGGGAAACATTTTTAGCTGCTCTGAGGTAAGGACTATCCAAAACTTATTACTCTGTTAACATCTTGGATATAGTTAAAATTCTGAAAACCTCAAATAAAAGAATGTATCTAATTACTGTGATACACTGTTACATATAAGTGACCTGGCAATTACATTATAGCTAAATTTTATTGACCTATTTGGTAGCCTTATTATACATATTCTAAGGCAAAGTTAAACTTTTCTGACTAAATCAGAACACAGACTGAATCAGTGTTCATGACCTATGCTAAGGGGGCACAAGAAGAAACACATCAATTATAGTTACGTTTACGTGTGTATAGGTACGTGAATAAAAATAATTCTTTTTAGTTGTAAAAATTCATCGTGGATGGTTCCGGGAGCTAATTCACCCTCAAGGAGCGGGCTTGGGTTAAGGTTACGGTTAGCTCACATGCGCTAAGCCGCGGGTTCAGTGGCTTCCCGACCCCTTACTGGGTCCGGGCTCCTGGCCCGGAGGGGCGGCGACACCGAGGTGAGTATGACGATCCCTGTCCTCAAGGAGCTTCAGTCTAGTAGGGGATGAGACATACTAGACTGTGAGCTCCTCGAGGGCAGGAAAAGTGTTCTGGTCACCCTGCCCCGTGACCAGCGCCAGGCCCGGCTATCATGGCGCACGCCGTGTCTGTGGCACCGAGCATGGGATGCAGCCAGGCGTGGCAGTGAGGGCGACGGGACAAGAGCGAGTGCTCTGGAGGCCCCGAGGGCGGAGGCCAGTCTGCTGGGAAGCCAGGAAGAGCCAGCGCGGGGAAAGCAAGAGGCTGAGCGAGGTGGGCAGGGCTCCGAGAGCTGGAAGAGAAGATGCTCCAGGCCGAGAGGCGGAAAGCGATGGGAAGACGCCATCCGGCCAGGACGGAGGGAGCCCTCGCTGCCGCTCTGGAAGCGGCCACCTGATGCGGGGAGCAGCGGGCACCCCCAAAGCCCGCACGGAGTGAGGGGGCCACTCTTCCTCGGCCACGATCCAGGAAGATCGACTCATGAGTCATGCCGGACAGGGACAGACGGGAGGGCAAGCCGGCAGGTGGTCTGTGGACACTGCAGCGAGGCCTCTTCAGCCATCGGCTGAGTCCAAGATGGCAACGAAGACAAAGTCGCCACCGTCACCCATAGGAGGTGAGGGCGAGAGCTGGCCGCGAGGACGAATGTGATGTCCGGCAGCAGTTTAAAAGGCAGGTAGGTGGAGAGCAGAGAAAAGGGCAGGACAGAAGCGGACGGCAGACGGAGGCGAGAAGTAAAGCCTCAACGGCTGGAGAACCAGGAGGCTGAGAAGGGAAGGCCGGCCAGTGCCAGAGTGATGGCGGAGGGGCAGCGGCCAGAAGACAAGGTGTCGCGGAGGCTGGGAGATGCACTCGGAATTAGAGACGGGAGAAGTTTCCAGGACAGAAACTGTCATGTTGTGAGGAAAGATCAAGGAGGGACAAAAAATGATGATGATTTAGGGGCAAAACATGAAATAAAGCATGTCCAAAATCCAGCCCTCACAGTGGGAGAACACGTGACTAAGTTGTATAAGAATAGATGAGATTTTTGCTAAAAGAATGCTGGCTAGAAACGCTGAAGACCTATCATGTGACATAAAGAGCCGACCTGCTCTACGCGGCCCTAGCAAACAGGACCTGGGTGGGTGACCGGGGGGGACAGGAGCTGCCAGCCCTCTCTGGGGCGTGCCTCTCACTGTGTCAGTAACGGCGGGACGTAAGCTCTGGAGCAGGACCATGTGCCATTTGCTACTGAATCCACTGAACGCAGCTTAGAACAAAGCAGCCACAGAGCCAACAGTGGCTGACAGGATTAGCCTCCTGCATTTCCGCTCACCGGCCTGAATTCTTCCCGGATCGTCTGCCCGGTCAGGAGCCTTGTCCAGCAGGCCGAGCTGCCGGAGAGGAGACGAGGCTACAGGAAGTTGAGAGGGAGTTCGAGCACTAGGGGGAAAGGCTGGGACAGATGAGCTCAGGGTCTCCTGGACCCTAATATTTGGTAATTTTTATGAAAAAAGACTAAAATGTAGCAAATAAAATAAAAACAATTTCACATAAAATCAGAGAAAGACCCCAAATATAAAACTAGGTGACTCAGCAAACCAAGGTGTGGCTTGGTTGGTTATGTAATTAAGCTCCCTGCGCACACACGCATGTTATATGAAAATACCTTGTTTACCGGAGTATTACATCTCAATCTAGACTTTAACTCCACTGACTTCAACAACTGTTTGCTGAGCACGTGCCAGGTGCCTGGTCCTGAGCTCTGCGCTGGGGCCACGGAAACGAGAAGGCACAGCGGGGCGCACTGAGAACAGACTCTGGCTGAGGACAGAGACGAGCAGACGAGAAAGCCACCGGGCCAGCTGCCCGGGCTGACTCCGCCCGGGCTCAGAGGGCTTGGCGCCTGAGAAGTCCCCGTGGGTGCCCTCCAGGGCGCTGGGAGCTGCGGCGGTTTGTCATCTGACAGTGCCTGCCACAGAGGACGAGCCACAAGAAGGCAGGCAGCGTGGCTATGCCCGTGGAGGCAGGGCTGACTAGGGAGGGCTCCTGCAGGAGGTAGTGGCTGAACTGGGGCCTAAAGACTGAACTGAACAGGCCCGGCAGGAGTCAAGGGCATCTCGGAGACAGAAGACGGCACGGGGAAGGCGGCGAGCTGCGCTGGGAGGACCGGAAGCGGGCGGGTGGGCTGCAGGTGGATGCAGGGGCCGTGTGAGCTGACTCGAGACGACGCACGGGTCGCATGCCTGCGGCTCTCGTGGGCCACGCCACGTCAATTAGAAGTTAGGACAAAGAGGTGTGAGCGTAATTTGAAGTTTGCTAAGATTTTAAGATACATTCTACTTAAGACTCTAGGAAGGCATAAGTAAACGCAACCCTACGCAAAAAGGTAATCCTGCTCGCCCCAGAACTAGGTCAGCCTCGGACGCACTGATAAGGGGCCCCGGGATGCCGCCCACGCCCGG